TCGAGTTGTAAAATTGACAAACCGTAGGTATTGGGTTGATATTGAGTTACTATTATTTGAACCCAATCCAACCCGATAAACCCGATATTTTTTTTTTTGATTTAATATGATTATTGAATTTCTATTAATATATACATTAGACAATTACACTATTATGTATGATTTTCATATACACATATTTTCAATCTATTCATATCTCTATATAAGGGCCTGTTTACTTGTGGCTTAATGAGCTTAATGGGTAAACCGGCTTATTCGCACATACAAACAAGGTTGTTTACCTTGGGCTTATTCGCTCAGAAATGGGCTTATTCGCCCAGATGAAAAACATGTGTTGTCCAGGTTAAGCTAGGTAAAAGACTTGTCCTACCCTTACACAATAGTCACGCCTCTCTCAAGTCTCTTCTCCATCGATCCAACACCCTTCGTTCTCTTCTCCATCGATCGACAAGTAAACAGGCCCTTCTCCATCGATCTCTTYTCCATCRATTGACTGTTGCTCTCTTCTYTACTCACTRTAAGRTGTAGKTCCCTTTTGCTCTCAAGCTTTTTAGAGAGAGAAATAGGGTTTTAGAGCGAGAGACCAAGGGTTTTTAAACCTCCCTCAAGAACCAATTATTCAATGGAAGAAGCTTCATCACCATTGTCGCAGCCTAAAAAGAGAGGTAGGCCMTTGGTCTCTTCTCCATCGATCGATGGCTGTTGCTCTCTTTTCCGTCGATCGACCATACCTGTTGCAACGAGTAGAGCGGCGAAGGCGACGAAGACGAAGGCTCAGACCGGTCGCCGGTGACGAAGCAAATAGGGGTGGCGGCAAAGCAACCGGAGATGGCGGCAAAGCAACCGGAGATGGCGAACGCCAAACAKGCGAGAGKGAGGATGAACAGACAAAAATCAATTTTATGGTATATATAATGGAAACAAGAAATTTCAAGCTGCAGTTTGCATTTTTTTTTTGGGTATTTGCTGTTTGCTTAAGGTTTTTTATCCTCAGAGGTAAATTGATCATTTCTGTTATTCAGATAGAAAAGTAAACAGCAACATAAATTTATCCAGACAGACAAATTTATCCAAACAGACAAATTTATCCAAACAGAACTTAATAGAAAATTTAGTAAACAGCCCCTAACTCATTCATATATATGTTCAGTAACTGTGAACATATATATAAATTGAGAAAATTAATTGAATGTGATATACGTAAGAAATATAGATAAATTGTATCAAATGGTTGATGATGAATAAGAAATTATGAGTAGATAAATAACATATTCAAGGTTTGAAGAATATTTTAATAAGTATCAACCCGACCAACCCGTACATGTTGGGTTGGGTTGCACTTTGGTTTGGGTTGGGTTGGGTTAAGATTTTTCCAAACCGCAAGCATTGGGTTGGGTTGTTCATATGTCTTCAACCCGATCAACCCAACCCATGAGCACCCCTACCTACGATTTAAATATTTTGCAACTCGATTAGACATCTGGTTGCTTCGAATTGAATTATTTTATGCTAGGTTAGGTTAAGTTGATCCGGTTTTTTTTTACTATCACTAATGCAAACCAAATCAAACGAGACGTCTAAGAAGTCGTTTACCAAAAACTTACCCAATAAGTATTTATCGGTAAAATTCAACACTATTATTTACTTACCGGGTAAGATTTTAGTCCACCAAAACGATACCATATGCAACAATTTACATGATAAGCTCTTATCGTGGTAAGAGTCGTTGTCCTCACTTATCGGATAAGACTTTTGGTTCTTGTCTCGCTCTTACCGGGTTTGTTTATTGGTCTTTGCCATATTCATTTTATATGGTAATATGACTTGGTAAATATTTACCCGAATAAACGTTTAGTAAACAGACCCTAAGCTAATACAATTTCTAAACTCAAACACTTCAATATAGCAACATCAAATATTTATTAATAAAATAATAATAAGATATAATCTTGTAAATTAATTAAATAAAATAAAAATATATAATAAAAAAAACCATGCACGTCAATCACAAGAATACATTAATTATTTTAATTTAAACGTGGGAAATTCATAGGAGAAATGGGTTTTTGCTTTTTTTTCGTTATCCAACCACTCAGCTTTTACTTCACTCGTTATATTGTCGGAAGCTAGAATAGTCAGCCATCTATCATTATTGTTATTTTAGATAGTGTTTGGTATGCAAACTGGATGAGACAAGACGAGATGATATTGGATGGGACAGGACTAATTGTATGTCCTATGTTTGGTACGAGTACGACTAGGACAGGACATGACAAAACTATTAAAATGACCATATTACCCCTAAATGTTGTTCAATGTTATTTTATATCATATAATGATTGTAAAATGACAACAAATCAATCAAAATATTATCATTTTAACTTTAGTTTCATGTTGTTCCACTAAAATTAAAAGTAGTCCCACCTTGTCTCATGTTTTTTTTTTTTGTCCATGGCATGCCAAACATGTGACTATTTTTTTTGTCTCGTCCTGTCCCATGTAGTCTGCATACCAAACGCACCCTTACAATACCTTATTTCTAGAGTTGTTAACAGACAAGATGACCCGTTAGACCCGTTAGACCCGTCATGTCTAACCTGTTAAAAATCGGGCTTAAATTATCATTTTTGAAGGAATGGACGGGTCTGGACTAACTTGTTAGAATTAATGGACGGATATGGACAATTCTTAATACTTATCAATTCCTTTTTAATTATGACTCATGATAATAACATTCTTTAAAAATCTTATATTTGAAAATATAATTGCTTCAATTGATCAAATTCCTTATTATCTCATTTAGTCATGTTTTTTATCAGTACTTTGTATTTAGTGAAACAATTTCTTTCTACAGTATGTATATTATTATGTATTTATGTCAAATTTTAAGTTGGAAAAATTGTTATTTATTTTGAATTATTTTACACAACTTGTGATTTTATATAAGTTTTGTCTTCATAAAAATATAACAAAATTTGTAAGTCCGTGGGAAAGCCCGCCCCGTTTATAGGGCGGGTTGGATAAGTTTTCAAGCTCGTAAAAACGGGCTTGGTTTTACCATATTAGGCCCGGTGGACAAAAAAATAGGTTACGCTCGGCCCACGTCCAGTCCAAACCCGCAAATGATCAGCTCTAACTTATTTCGGATATCATTCTTATTTTTTTAGTAATAAAATATATATTTTTATTAGCCTAGATATCTAACCCACTATGCGAGCCGACTAATCTCTGAACGACCACCCGTTTTGCATGTAGTCCAGAGTCATCACATTTGAATATATGTGGCCACAAGAGGATTTTTATTCTTTATTGGATTCGAACCTAGGACATTCAGACACTTTTGGTTTGAAGCTCAAACTCAAACTAATCGGGCACTGCCCTTGTGGTTGAACAATAATATAACAATAAATTAACTTAGGGGTCGTTTACCAAACGCTTACCCGGGTAAGTACTTACGAATTAACATTACCTCACCGGATGAATATAGTAAGGACCAATAATCTTACCCGGTAAGAGCGATACAAGGATCAAGAGTCTTACACGGTAAGTGAGGACGACGACTCTTACCACGGTAAGTGTTTACTGGGTAAATTATACTATGTCGTTTTTGTGGACTAAAACTTTACCCAGTATTCCGGTAAGTACATAATATTATCAAATTTTCCAAATAAACACTTACTGGATAAGTGTTTGATAAACGACCCTTGTATTTACCATAAAAGTATATCTACTTCATGCATATACTATACTGGGTTTTTTTCTTTTTAAGAAGTGGTATGGTTTTTTAATTAATAAATAAAATTATGTATGAAAACAAAAACATCAACTTCTTGTTGCATAACGAAAAAGACAGTTGTCAAAGTTAAAATTGTACCTTAAATAAAATAATAAATTAAATTAAAATAATCCATCTTTTCAATTAAATTTATTTTCTAGATATTTTTAAAACTAAATTTTTATTTTAATCATAGCTTTCTTAAATATCTTAAAGCTTATTTTTAATTTAAAGAAAAAAGAAAATTAAATTTTTTTCTTTTAATTTGAAAATAGTCTTGATACAAATACATAAAATATTTATATAAATTATAATTAAAATGAATAAAATATGAATTTAGGAGTTGTTTGGCAATTACTGAATGGTTTAGTACAAAATGATTAAGGGGTTGTTTGTTTCCTCTTAATAGTTTCCATTAAAAGCCAACTTGTGAATTGCTAAAAGATTGAATCTTGTTTGGCCAAAAAATAAAAAATAAAACAAAAAAAACTTTGTCTCTTAATGGTTCTAAAACACTTTGTATGATTTTATATCTTGGGTCTCTCTTATCTATTCAGCACCCTAATTTCATTCTGAATAATTACCAAACAATTGTATTTTATTTTACACTATATTTTAATAGTCTCTTAATCATTCTGACTACTTAATCATTTTGCACCAAACCATTCAGCAACTGTCAAACAACCCTTAAGTAATCAGAATGATTAAGAGGCTCTTAAGATACAATGCAAAATGAAATATAATTATTTGGTAATTGTTAAGAGTAAAATTAGGATCCTGAATGATTAAGGGAGATCTAAAATACAAAATCATTCAATAAATTTTAGAATAATTAAAAACAAATCTTTTAGCAAACAAAATTCACCTCTTAACAATTGAAAAACTGTATCTTCGTAAAATTATTAAGAAGTAATAGTTGAAAATTTGATTTTTATGGTCAATCATCCAAAAGTGTTAAAAAATGGCTAAAAGCCACCGTAAGCCCGCGATATGAAGTTGAAAATGGTCAAAATTAACGACGAACATGCTGACGTGGCAGCAGTTTGTTCTTTAATGGCTAAATTATAAATCGTTACAAACTCCTCCTCCATGTTTAATTTTTTCAGTTCTACCCTCTCTGTAAAACCTTTGCCTCCAATCTCTGATCATCAATCGTCTTCCCTCCCTCCTTCCATCATCTCATTCTTCCTTATCTCTGGCGTAATTTTGATAAACGAAGTCGATAATGGAGTTGTCTCTCCGGGGACCAGCAACGTCGATGGCGACGGCCGGATTGAAGTTCATCACGTTTCTTCTAATTATGTTGCCATTTCTGTATGATTTCAGATCCGCTGCTCAACTTTTGCCGGATGAAGAAGGTGTAGTACTCACTTTTTGATTCCTTCACCTTCACTTATTATGAGTTCTAATATTTGAAATGGTTTAGATTATCGACAGATTTTGTGTTTCTATTAGTTATTCATCTCTGATTGGTAATTCGCGTTTGGAAAAAAGTTGATTTTGGCATAAAACTTGTGATCCTGGATGATTAACCTTATCCTTACTATATTCTTCTATTTTTCTCCTGTCATTAATATTGATGACCACATAAACTCGTGTGTGTGTGTTAAAAGCTGTTTCCAATTTTATCAAATTTTTAAGAAATTGGTATAAATATGCCAAACAGAAACGAAGATACCACAAGCAAAACCCTTCGATTTCCTGATCTACTATCCATTTATTTTTCTTCAAATATTTGATTTCTGATCAGTTCCATTCGATTGTTATATTCATATTCTATAGAACTATATGTTTGGGAATTATTGTAGATTTACAGGTTGGATCACCTGGTCTTCCTTTATGTCTCGATCAGTGCCTAATTAGAAGGAATGGAAATAGTACTTTAGCCTATTCGGATATTGAAAGCTACTACGTGCATGCTCCTGCATCATCTTGTTCTTTTCTGGTTGTAGTCTTCTTTATTTTCGCCTCTGCCTAATTTTATAAACAATATAATATCCTAGCTTACAGTTGACAACATATCTATGTTTTCAATTGTTGTCACCTTGTTTCTCTTTCTGCTAATTTCTAAATTGGCGACGTGTACAGATAATCAGCATATTTTGGTTCATCAAATTTATAACTTTTAACTTCACGTAATGTAATCACAAGAGAACATTTCAGCATTTGCCTAATTAGCCAAACGTTGACATTTTCAACTTCAAAAAGGAGTGACTAATTTCTCTGTTCGGTTCATGTTGGGTCATAAATGTACGTATGGTTGATCTGTGGCCTATTCTGGTCAAACATGCAATATTATAAAAAATTGGGGTGGCCAATATTTTGAAAATAATAAACGTAAAGAAGGATATAACCAATTATATACAAAATGTTATTAGGATATTTCACGAGCAAAAATGGCAATATATTTTTTTTTTTCATCTTACTTCTAGGATACGTCCTCACATGTTCTTCCCATGTAAATAGGTATTTTAAGACATGCGGATTTTCTCATGATTTAAAACTTCCATACTAATTATATAATCTTCTGTAAGAATATATGGAGCCTCATATTTACTTTTCAAAAGAGCCTTTGAGGAGAGAAGGAGGTTCCAACATGTATAGACTCTAATACGCCCAGAGGCTAGACGGGCAAAGATGTCCCAGAGTGTCGAGAGGGGGTTAGGCTGGAAAAAATGTCGCAGAATGTCGAGTTCCGGGCAAAGGTGATGTTTACGCATTTGCATAAGCATCAGTTGTAACAGCTTCATTTTGTTGGGATTTCTTACAATATTTTTTAAGATTAATATTATCATCAATAAGTAGTTTTTCGTTGCCAAATAGTAGTTTCTGATCACCAATTGTTAATTTTGACCAAAATTTATCATCAATTTATTATTTACTTATTTATAGCTTTTATCAATAACTTTTCTATCATTTTCTGTACCAAAACTAATGTTTTGATGAGAAAAACACTTGGCCTAAATGGAAGTTCGTTAACTAAGTCATGTATAATTTTATAAGAAATAAGCTACCATTAGTATGCTGGCATTTGAAAATTTGTTAATCTACCTATTCTTTAACCAGGAAAATCACTTGGATGGTAATTCTAGATTATCAGTCATGTATGAAACCATGCCTGTTGTTTAAATTACTTTATTCTTTTTATGATCTATGACAGTTGAAGCTCTTGAGGCGATATCCTCAAGGCTACAGTATAACAATTGGCGGGTTGCTAGAAATTCATGCAGCGGAGGTGGAGGGCTTAATGTAACAGTTTCTCTGAACGGCGAAGGGCTTATTAGGTTTGGCAGCAATGTAACCTGCAACTGTAACAGCACCATTTGCCACGTTACACACATGTACGAATCTGTCGTTTTATATCTCGTCCTTATGGAAATAGCTGGAGTGAAATTGCCAAATGAATCTTGGTTGGGAAACATCATGTACTTGATAATTAGAATAGGTCAAGTCCCGTGACTTCCATCCTTTTTTAGAAAGGGTTGGGAAACCACACCAGAGCTTTCCATTCTATTGTAGCTCTAATCAACATTTGTATATTTTTTTCCACTAATACTTTTAAGTACTTTATATTAAATTTCAGCCAGTTAAAGGGACTTAACTTGACAGGAGTTCTACCTGAAGAATTTGCAAATCTCACTTTTCTGCAAGAAATGTAAGTGTATATTTTCAATGTTTGCCAACAATATCTATATCACCCTTTCTAGTTTCTAGGTCTTGATACGCAAATGCACTCAAGAAAACGTCTATCCAAGAGTTGTGTACCAATGTCATCATGGTGACATGGTGCAAAAAACCAAATTGGTGATGTGTTCTATGTGCATTGATATAAGAAGTTTAATAATGTTATTCTCGCGTCTCTGTCTTTCACATTTCATTGAATATATTTATACATACGCACATATATATGCACACACATATATCGATAACGTGTTCCATTGTAGTGCATGGTTATACTGAAAAAAGAGACTTGGTGATGTTATACTTTCATGCAGTGATCTGTCTCGCAACTATATCAATGGAACTATCCCAGCACGTTTTGGTCAGCTTCCCCTTACCATATTGTAAGAGTTATTGGTTCGTTAGTTCTTTTCCCGCGCTTAGGCTAGTTGAAACATCCTCCTGATATTTCTTTTTTTACAGGAGTCTTTTGGGAAACCGCCTCAGTGGTTCTATACCTAGAGAAATAGGTGATATCTCTACACTTGAGGATCTGTAAGTAATGATCTTAATTTACTCAATAGGTCTATCATGTATCCAGCATTTCATTATTTACAGCTGAGACCTTGTAACAGGGTCTTGGAAGATAATTTGCTTGAAGGACCGCTTCCTCAGAACCTTGGGCGTTTGACTCGCTTAAGAAGACTGTAAGACTAAATCCTGATACCACTTCCCCATTACCGTTATTGATTGCCTTACGGATCCCCATTATGCTAATTCACAGAAGCACATGAATACATAATAAGTGACTATCCTGCTATATACTAGTAACATGCTTCTGGAGGTCCAATACTATGAACTTGAATGTCCTTTTGTGTCCCTAAATGGGTTGTTTATGAATGGTAGATGCCTAGATGGTGTCGTGTTCATTCTCTAATCTCTATAAATTAACATGTTATGAGAGTGGGTTTGTGGAAATTTAGAATTATTTATGGATGGTTATCTCTTCGAAATTGTAACTGAATATCTACATGCTTATAAAATGTTTCTACAGGCGTACAACTAGAGGTGTTTAACTTTTCATGGAATGGATGAATGCAATTTGTAAAATCAAATTTTGGTAGTTGCCAATATCTTGTGTTCATCCTGTTCTCCAGTTGCATGCACTAATGCACTTCGCTTGTTTAGAATCTGAAGGCCACATCATAATTAGAGAATTTAGCATCACAGTTTACATGTATTATCCATTCCATTGAGTTTTGCTGGTTTTCCTCTATAAGCTTCCACCATTGTATGTTTGTTTCTTCTGCCATTTTTCCATTTTGAGTCTGTAAACTTTAGCTTTTGTGAACAAAGATCATACCTATTTTCAATTATACCAAGTCAATCTATACCTTTTTCTCTCATTTGTTATTTCATTCATCATGGATCCTCATATCTTATTCATAATGAAGATTTTTCCTTGCAGCCTTCTTTCTGCCAATAATTTTACAGGAACCATTCCAGAATCATTTGGCAATCTGACTAATCTAGAAGATTTGTAAGTAGTAGTGGTCTTTATATTCTTTTTGGTTAGGCAAGTGAAATAGATTTGTTCGTTCATCAAATCTTTTATCCTGATGATTGAAACTTCTGTATAATACTTGCAGTAGGATAGATGGGAGTACATTATCTGGGAGAATACCTAGCTTCATTGGAAACTGGATAAGACTTGGGAGACTGTGAGTATCATCTTCCAGTTTATTTCTTCTAAAACTGTTTCAAATATTTCTATTTGCATTTAAATGTAATCCATGTTACATCATTTACCGCACAGTGACATGCAAGGAACGTCAATGGAGGGGCCTATTCCTTCTACAATATCTTTGTTGACAAATTTAACTGAATTGTGAGCCCACATTGTGTCCCAATATTTGTTTAGTTTTCATCCGATAAGTGTGTGGTTGTAGATTTGACTTGTGAGCATTGAACTTACTGCATACTGTGTATTATGGTTCTCAGGAGGATAACTGATTTGAATGGATTAAGTGCGAGCTTTCCTGATCTGCGGAATATGTCACGCATGATTAGACTGTGAGTTGATTTTGTGGTTGTGCTACAGAAAGTAGGCAAAGTAATTTATCAATTTTGTGCAGAAAGTTGACATAAATTTTTTAATTACTTTGCTGCAGGCACCTGAGAAATTGCTTGCTTACTGGTCCAATACCGGAATACATAGGGCAGATGAATGATATGAAAAACTTGTGAGTCAATTAGGAACATTAGTCTTGAAGCAGAACTTATTGGTCCTTTCAGTTGATCATACTTCTTTCAATAGTTGGTCATATGGAATTCACGAGAATTATTTCATACTCGGGAAAATGAAACTTTAAGCAAGTTATACCAGTTTTTATTTAACAACATGAGATAACTAATATTGGAATATTATCACCATTCACTGTTAGCAACGTTTTCTTGGCATGTCTTTTTATATCTCGTAGTCTATGCACCTCGGCACTTGCTTGTTGGTTATCAGTTGTGGTTTCATAATCTTGTTTTGTTCGTAATATCTTTTGCCGTGTAAAGTATATCCAAATGCTCACTTCTGAATCATCTTTCATTTGGTGGAGTTGACTTCAATATTTTAGCATTTGCAATCTTTATGATTGAACTAACATCGTATATTCGTATAATTATAACATGAGATTTTATATGTACTGCTTAACATGAGCTATCACCCTTTCTTGATGAAGCGTCTGAACCATCTTTTTTGCAGAGACCTGAGTTTCAACAGGTTGACTGGTCAAATACCTGATTCAATTGCGAGGCTGCGTTACGACACCTTGTATGTTACCAATCAGAAAATTTTGTCCTGCATATGTATGCTGCATTGCCTGCATATTTTGATTTTCCAGTCAAATCTGAAATGGAATATTTTCCGTGGATGCAGGTTTCTTAATAACAACTCGCTAACTGGAGATGTTCCTGGATGGGCATTTAATGACAATAGAAAGATGTTAGTGATTCCCCTTCCTTGATTTAGTTGATTAGTATTCACGTCCCACATCAGCTAAACATGGATAATCAAACTTCTATATATGTCGGAACCTCCTCTCTCGCTCTCTCTCTCGCCCTTTACAAAGGCACTTTTAGGGAGAGATTCAAAGGGGATCCATATACTCTCACATGGTATTAGAGCCCCTAGGACTCGATACACTCTTTTGCCTCCGTTTGACGAGCGTGTTGCAGTCCAAATTGGCTAGACATGAACCATCAAACCTCTATATATGTTCGAACTCCCCTCTCTTTGTAGGGTCTCTTATAAAGAGAGATTCAAAGGGGTTCCACATATCCTCACAATTAGTACTAATTTATGTATTTACATATGGTTATGATATCATAGGATGTATAATTTCATCACTATTATCTCTTGTTTGTGATTACCATGTCTATGTGTGTGTTTCTTCTTACTTTTACATTCTAGAATTGATACACAAAGGTTCCCACTTCTCTTTGCAGTGACTTATCCTACAACAATTTTACAAGGTCACAACAATGGAATTGTCAGCCATCTAGCTTGTAAGTTTTCTTTCCTTCACAATATGCAAATGTTCTCTTTTATATTCACTTACCACTTGATCTTGATCACTTTAATCTATTCCACAGGAATTTAATTTCTTCCGTTCCATCTTCACCAGCAACCAATAGGTAACACCCCCCCCCCCCCAAAAGAAAAAAAACAGTAAAGATATATTTTTATTAATTCTTTTTGTTCAAATGTCATTCTAATGATATGGCTAAACGTGAATTTATATTGTAGAGATTCTTGGTGTTTGAGAGAGGGGCTCACTTGCAGCAGCAACCCCAGCCGTAAAGCATTCCTTTTATGTTACTTTATATTCCCTTAATTCACACTACAACAAAATCGGCTTCAAACTACAAGGATTGTGGCGTAGTGGTTGAGGTCCTTGGAGAATGTGGTGAAATATCCAATTTGCCCAGGGTTCGATTGCAGACGTACACAATAATTGTGGCCACTGAGTTTATCATGGCTGATTTTTTTTTTTTTTTTGTAAGGGTGTCCGGGCCAAAGCCCGACTAATCCCCGACAATTTTGGAGGCTAAACATGACTCCACTTAAATGTCGTCAACACTTCCCTTCCCAAGGCTCGAACTTGGGTTCATGACTATGCCATGCCCAAGCCTTTACCACTAGGCTGGAAGGTCTTTGACATGGCTGATTTTTTGTAGTCACAATTTGCCGGGATTAGTCCACGCATAGCCTGAGACACCCTTCCAAAAAAAAATCGGCTTCGCCAAAAAATGTCTAAATGTTATAATAGACTATTTTATACGACTTAAGTTTATAAGACCAAATAATTGTGTAGTCCTGTATAAATGTCTTACAATAAGTTGATAGGAGGTTTTTGGATATCCTAACAAGTTTTTTAGGACAATTCTGAAATGAAACGTCTTGTTGGTCTCTTTATGCAAACATTATATAAAAAAATATCTCATAAAAAACAAAGGTCATGTAAAAAAGATGTCCAAAAAACTTGTTAGGATACCAAATAGGTCCTAACATCTTATTGTGACATCTTTATGGAGGACCCATAATAATTGTTTCGTCCTAAAAACCTTTACATAGGTACTGATGCATCTTACATCTTTCCCTCCATTGCCATTTGCAGGTTATTCTTTATTTATTAATTGTGGTGGAAGCAATGTAAACTTTGATGGAAATGAATATCAAGAAGACTTGACCAGTGAGCAGTCCTATTTTTTTCCTTCTGATGGATGGGCTTATAGCAGCAATGGTGTTTACGTGGGTAATGATAATGCTCCATTTGTCACAACCACAACCAACGTGACAGGTGGAGACGTATATAGAACGGCCCGCCTTTCGCCTACTTCCCTCAGATACTATGGACGGTGTTTGAGAAGTGGTAGCTACAAAGTGCGGCTCCATTTTGCTGAAATAATGTACTCCGATGATCTGACATTTAGCAATCTAGGAAGGCGCTTTTTTGATGTATCAATCCAAGTGAGTAACATCCGATTTTGGTTATGCTTTGCTTGTACCTTATTTTTTTATTGTTATTTATTGGAGTGTCGCATCGGTTAGACTCGGGCTATTTCTCCCGTATATATGTTGGAATCTTCCCTTTCTTCTCAAGGGTCCTTTTGGAGAGTGATACGGGACTTCCACATACTTTCACATGGTATCAGAGTCTTAGCGAGCTTTTCAAAAACTTCATCTTACTTCACTTCCTCTTTATTGTCACACTCTTTCACAAGTTGGGGTATTTATAGAGGTCTGCAGACATCTTACACTTCCGGGCCCCACCTTCAAGTGGGATAGTGCTCATTTGGTTTAGTTTGGTTAGAATTAACAAAGGTAGTTTGGTCTTTTATGTAGGGGGATCTGAAATTGAAAGACTTCAATATCATGGATGAAGCTAATGGTCCCGGCATAGGCATGTACAGAGATTTTGATGATATTATTGTTAACGGTAGCACGCTAGATATTCATTTGTATTGGGCAGGGAAGGGGACTACTGCAATTCCAGATCGCGGTGTATATGGACCTCTTATTTCAGCTATCACAATAACACCAAGTAAAATTCCTTTCTTAGCATAAAACTACTCTATTTTCCAAAATCAAGAGCGCGATTAACCTATTTTCTCTCCCTCCTTGTAGACTTTGATGTATCAACAGGCCTCTCTGCTGCAGCTATAGCTGGAATAGTGACTGGTTCTTGTGCATTTGTTTTGTTGATTCTAGCTGTTCTTTGGAGAAAAGGTTATCTGGGAGGGAACAAAGAAGACAAAGGTGATAACATATACAACAGTTGTGTATAAGTGAAGTCTTTTTTTAAGGGTGTCCTAGGCTATGCGTGGACTAATCCCGGCAAATTGTGATTGCAAGAAATCAGCCGGATAAACGACCATAATTGTTGTGTACGTCTGAAATCGAACCCTGTGCAGATGGGATATTCCACCACATCCCCTAGAACCTCAACCGCTACGCCACAACCCTTGTGGTTTATAAGTGAAGTCTTTATGTGATAATATGGGGATACCTGTGAGATTACTCTCCAAAAGATCCCTCGAGGAGAGACTAAAGGCTCCAAACATATATTGAGGAGAAATAGTCAAAATCTAGTTGATGTAGGACTCTAACATGCCCCTCCAATGGAGGCTAGATGGGCACAAATTGTCCCAGAGCGGCGAAAGGTCTAGAATGGTAGATCTTGGCTCTGATACCATGTGAGATATGTGCAACCCGCCGGATTACTCTCCAAAAGAGCCGTTGAGGAGAGAAAGAAGGTTCCTACATGTATTGAGGATAAAAGGTCCCAAATCTAGTCGATATGGGACTCCAACACTTTATTATGCCATAAAAATTGGTAGTTCTTCCCCACGCTCTTAATTGTACTAGATTTAAGGCAATGTATTGCAAGGTGTACCCATGGTTGCAAAATCTAGTAGCATTTCAAACTAATTAAACTTCTTTTCATGTGTAGATCTTTTAAGTAGTTTCCTACTTCTGTTTATAGTAGATCTTTTCTGATTTTAGCTGTTTCTGATGACTCTCCTCATCACAGAACTTCGAGCTCTTGAATTACAGACGGGTTATTTTAGTCTGCGACAAATAAAAGCTGCTACGCATAACTTTGACTCGGCAAATAAGATTGGTGAAGGAGGCTTTGGACCCGTTTACAAGGTGTCAACTTGTATTGCAAAGAAGCTACATTATATAACTAGGGGTTGGTTCATTTGAAAACCGTAAATATTTTGAGAACCAACTATTCATATATGAATTACTCATGATGATAGATATTCATTATGAATAATGAAAATGCTTGATATTCATGCTGAATATTTAGGTATATTAATCATGAATAGTTGGTTCTGACGGTTCTCAAAATATTTACAATTCCTAAATTAACTTCCCTGTAAATCATTAATCATCCTAAACACGATTTTATGTTCTTTTCCTTCCGTCTGTAGGGCGTACTCTCAGATGGTTCTGAAATCGCCGTTAAGCAACTCTCCTCAAAATCAAAGCAAGGGAACCGTGAATTTGTCACCGAGATAGGCATGATATCAGCTTTGCAACATCCAAACCTCGTTAAGCTCTTTGGCTGTTGTATAGAAGGAAACCAGTTGTTACTGATATACGAGTACCTCGAAAACAATAGCCTTGCACGCGCTCTTTTTGGTAAGAAGACTTCACTGTTAACTATTTCCATTTCCTATCAGCAAGAGTTAATGACATTACCAAATGGTCATTATCCTAGCGGTATTCGAATTACCATTAGATCCCAACCTCCTTGGAGGTCAAGGGTTTAATACGTGAGTTTTGTCGTATATAGATATTATATATTTAAAAAGAGTTAATGAGATTCTTGGTGATTCCATCTTTAGGCCGAGATGACCAGCGCCTTAATCTAGACTGGACGACAAGAAAAAAGATATGTTTAGGAGTAGCCCAGGGATTAGCTTATCTCCATGAGGAATCAAGGTTGAAAATCGTTCATAGAGACATAAAGGCGACCAATGTGCTTCTCGATAAGGAACTTAATGCGAAAATATCGGATTTTGGTCTTGCTAAGCTTGATGAAGAAGAGAACACCCATATCAGCACACGGATCGCAGGAACAATGTACTGGTTTTTATTTTTTCTACTGTTTTTATATGGTTTTTACGTCTGAGTTGGCTCAAATTTGAGATGTTTATGGTGCGTTTTGCAGCGGGTATATGGCTCCCGAATATGCAATGAGAGGATACTTGACGGATAAAGCAGATGTTTACAGCTTCGGAGTTGTTGCATTAGAGATTGTGAGCGGGAAAAGCAATACGAATTACCGTCCGAAGGAGGAGTTTGTCTACCTTCTTGATTGGGTAACTTCCAACTTCTCTTACTTCGACGATCGTTTAATATTCTTCATTTTGCTTAAAATAACCCAGATATGAAAATGTTGAAAATAAATTTTAGCATGTAAAAATAGAATATTTAGAATCCCATTAGATTAGTCTAAAAAAGAACCATTGTTTGGAGAGAAGGGACGTTTAGCATGTAATTTAAAACAAATGGTCCAAGTTTATGTGATGTAAGACTCTAACACGACTTCTAGATGCCCATATATATAGATAAGAAATGGTCAAATTCTAGCCAACGTGACAATCCAAAGAAGGCTATACGGACACATGTTATCTCTAGAGGGGCTAGACTGGTACAAATTGCCCTAAAGTGTTGAGTCTCTATAGTGGTAGGCCATGATTCTAATACCATTTGATAACATATGAAACCCCATCAGATTACCCTCCAAAAAAAACCCTTTAAGGAGATAATGAAGATTCCAACATATATTGAGGAGAAATGATCCAAGTCTAGCCAATGTGAGGCTCCAACAAAATAATACTACTAGACAATAAACTAAGGGTCCGTTTACTAAACCATTACCTAGTGAGCATGGCAAGTACCAAGAATCTTACCCAACAAGAGACATAGCAAGGACCGAGAATCTTACCAGATAAGTGAAGGAAAAGACTCTTACCCAATAAGCGTTACCTTAAGTAGGTAAAAGACGTTTACCAACAATCCATTTTGATGATCGAAAATGTTATCCAATAAGGAACCACAAGGGTTGTGGCGTAATGGTTGAAGCCCATGAAGATATGATGGAACGTCCCATCTGCCTGGTTCGATTTAGGCATCCACAACAATTATGGCCTCTAAGTTTATCAGCGCTAATGTCTTACGGTCACAGTTTGTCTGGATTAGTTTGGGCATAGTCGGGGACATCCTTCAAAAAAGATGTTACCCGATAAGATATGTGAAGGTGGTGACTTTTGCCAAACGGCCCTAATGTTCAACAATTTTTTTTATTGATTATATACGCTCAACATCCAAACATCATCTATGATAATAATAATAATAATAATTTCTCTGTATCAACCAAAACAACGTCAATACAATGTCCGTTGCCATTCCCATCCCCGGCATGCTTCTAGCCCCTAATTTTTCTCATCTGTTACATGAACTCGAAGGCCTACGTGCTACAAGAACAAGGGAATCTACTCGAACTAGTGGACCCGGTACTCGGTTCCAACTACCCGAAAGAAGAGGTGATGAGGATGCTGAACATAGCTCTACTATGCACCAACCCATCCCCGACCCTTAGGCCTGCCATGTCCGCGGTAGTCAGTATGCTGAACGGAAAAATTCCAGTTCAGCCACCGCTGGTGAAACGGAACGGAATGGATGGCGCCGACATGAGGTTTAGAGCCTTCGAATTGCTATCACAAGACAGTCAAACCCAAACCTCGTTCATGTCGGAGAGCACTCAACGACCGAAGAGCATGTCGATGGAAGATCCGTTGATGGATTCCTCCGTCTAAAACATCATTCTTTCTAATCTTTATGATGAATTTGTTGTTGTGAATTATATACAAAATATGTACGTAAAGTTTAAGGTATGAGGTTTAATCTGTAGACAGATTGTTTAATAGGTTGTAAAAGTTTTGTTTATGACTTCTCAGATTTTCGGGAAAATGTGTACAAAAGATTGCAAATTTATTCATAGGCTACCATTTTTTATAATGTAAATATATTTGTATTTTTGGTTGTTTCTTTGTCTTTGTCATGTATGCTTGATATATGTTGCTTTAGACATATGAATAAAAATGAAAATGAATGTCAGTGACGAATTCAAGAATTTTTATAGTTGGGGGGACAGTTAGAGGTGTAGAAAAAAAATCGAAACCAAATAATTCATCAGGATGAAAACGGTTTTGGGTTTTCCTTTTCGGCTTAAACGGTTCAGTTAACTAAATAAAGATAACTTATGCAGGTCGGTTTTTTTAGCTGACTTTTTACTAATTCATCGAGGTGTATAATTTTTATATTTTATCTTTCGAACGAAAGTATCATTGTGTGTTGCAAATGGACTAATTAACAATCAGGATATCAAGTTGGGGCCCTTGCATTGTTCTTGTTGGGCGACAATAAGAAAATTTACTAAACAAATCTTTAGTATCTTTTAAAAAAATTGGTGGGTTTGTTGGGGGCATAGGACCCTTACCACCATGCACTAGATCCACCCCTGAATGTCAGGTTAATATGGAATGAAAATTTGGGTATATGGAGAAATGGACCCGTTATAATATGTAAAAACTAAACAGTATTTTTTTTAATTCTATTAATTTACTATTTAACATCTCTAACCACACAACCCCTAACTATCGTGAGAATGTGATAAAGTGAAGGTTAAGAAAAGGTTTACATGTGAATTATTGAGAAAAAATCGAAAATAAATCTATTTGGAGATGTAAAAATTATGCGTTTTTGTTTTCTTAAAAATTAAGGACTTTTTAGGCCGTCAGTCGGTGGACATACCCGACCCGTTTACAGAACGAGTAAGGACAAGTTATAAAGCCCGTTTATAGAACGAGTAAAGACAAGTTATAAAGCCAGCAAAAAGAAAGAACATAGATTTACTTAATTAGACCACTGAACAGAAGAAACCACTACACAAAATGTATGTTCTATATATAGAAGTTTTGAGCACCAAATTGGGATACAGGTTTGGTACCACCGTTCGTAACATGTTTACAAAGTCGGCGTAGATACACAAAACCATCCTTACATATATATATACATACATGGAGCGAACGACAATTATGTCTCTAAAACTCGATACCAGTATTTAACTGAACTGAAAAAGAAGGCCGACCAACACCCGTAAGAGGCGTTTCAGCTCTCAATACTATCCCTGATTTCCCAACATTCCCGTTCCACTTCGATCTACCTACCTGCATTTTTCAATATCAATAACAATTACTCAACACTACTATCATAATCCACAGGCTAAAAACTACTACTTGATGATATATGACATATTGTATATGCATATATGGGGGCAGTTTCATATAGGAACCTTAAATATTTTAGAACCACCTACTTTGTGAATATTTTATCATGTTATTCATCATGAATACTTTAAAAAAAGGTGATTCGTGTGTTTCTAAAATATTTAAGTTTCCTAAATGAACCTCCCTCGATATGTATATGTATATGTAGGGTCAGGTTTAGGGAAAACCACAGAAAAATGAAAAAACTGAGAAGCACCCTTGTAACAGTTCATCTGTATGGTATGCACATGTGTATACAAGTTAATTGTAAATTGTCAATAATTTGTTTGGTATGCACATGTGCATAACATGCAGACGTACATAGAAACCAGAAAACATCTTCAATTACTTGTATGCACATGTGCATACCGTACAAATGAATGGGTATGAGGGTGTTCCTCGGTTTTTTTACTTTTTTGGAGGTTCTCCCCTGAACCTTACTCTGTATATGTATTATGTATTATGTATATATATATATATATATATATATATATATGCAAACAAAGAGTATCATCATAATAGAAGATAATGAATGATGATTTTGTTTGAGAAATGTCTAAAAATCAAGAATTGAAGAAACTTACTGATAGTGATGCAAATGCACAAGGATGTGAGACTAAACAACAACCGCCAATGAGACTCAGTTCCTCATTCAAAGAATGCACAACTTCCGCCTTCACTCCAGGATTGCTTCCACCAACTGTTGGCTGTAAACTGGTCAACAAACAAGATCATTTAAGCCAACAGAAGCAAAACATATGCCTTTCAGTGTCGACTGGCACAAGTTAAAAGTAATACCCCCTCCGTCCCAAAATAAGCGCTCACATTTCTATCTTAGTTTTCCCAAAATAAGTGTCAAATTTCCAATTCTACCCTTAATTATAAGATGGAGAAATTCATAACTCCCTCTATTATCAAGGGTGAAATTGTCATTTAGTTGATTAATAAATGTAATAATTACACACTCCTAAGACTGTGTGCCTTTTTCATTGTGGACATTTGTTTTGGGGCAGAAGGGGGTATGGTTTAAGATTGAATCAACAAATCAGAGAGGATCACAATCCCTAACTTGACCACCAAAATGAAGCAAATGATACTCAAATTATGCAAATGGAGGATGGGCTAGGTGCACAAAATCTGATTACCTGAACTGGACCGTTGGCCTCACCATGAGACCGGATCTTTTCCAAGCCAAAGCTTGTTCAAAACCTAAAGTAAACGATTTTGCAGGCCATTGTACCATAGGTGTGATGCGTGTTCCCCACTTATTCTGCCAAAAGATCCCTATATCAGAAATGGTTTTATCTGCATGCTTATGGCCATGCTCAAATACAATGACAACTTCACTGTAATATCTAGGGGAAAATGCATCAAAATGCAACAAAGTTTGGTTTAGAAAAGTTTCAAAATTTCCCAGTATCAACCCATTTTGACTGGTAGCCCATTGATCTTGTAAAATTTGATGACGTGGATACCAGTTTACGAAAGACTCACAACAACGTGGATGACAAAGTGGACATTCACGTCATCAAATGTTACATTAGATAGGAAATTTTGGAACTTCGTTAGATTAAATAAGAAATTTTGAAACTTGCTTACATTGATTGAGAAAAAACAATCTTCGTTACACTAAATAGTAACTAAACCAATTTTTGTTGCATTTTGCCCTTAAATCTATGTGCATGATAACTCACCTTGCATGAGAAACTGAACCTCATTTCTCCTGGATATTGGCCTTGTGCTTGAAGCAGACCACCAAAAAGGGGTAAGAATGCACTGGTGGATATACCTTCACCAGCAACGTATGTTACCTGACCATTCGGAAACTGCAAATCCATGAACGACTGAAATACAAGAGAAAAGTGATGTTAGGCAATCCAACTTAAAGAAACTTCATATCCTTTCAAATTATAATCTTCTGAGTTCTGGCAATGGTAAAAAAGAAAATTATTAAAAAGCCAGATAAAAAATTGAGGTCACTGGAGGTGGGATCCTGCACAAAAAGGTTCCACGCATATGAATGTCTTCACGCATATGAATGTCTTGTACCATGTGCATACATACATGATATATCTACTTTAGGGTTTATGTTTTAGTACCATTTCAAATTGATATGTCATATTGGTGATGAAAATTGCAAATTGATGATAGTTGGTGTTGAAATTTGTGATAAATTGGTCGCAGGGAACTACATATTGGTGATCAAGATTTAAGGGGTTGTTTGGTTCAGACAGAGGAATGAAAATGAAAATGACAGCATTTTCATTCCCCCCAGTTTAACCTGGAATGAAATTTGGGAATATGGGGGAATGGACCCATTATCTTATATAAAATCAAATACCCTCTAGCTATTCGTGATGAGAAACAACAATTTGGTGATGGAATGGGTGTTAAAGAAAACCCTAAAGAACTATATATATGCACATGGTACAAGTACATTATGCAAATAGAAACTAATGCTTTCTTAAGTGGGCGTGCAAACTTGGGCACCAACATTTTCCTCTAAAAGATTATCAGAAAAGAAATACCGTCAGCAAGAGTTATCTGTACTTACACAAGCCAAAGGATTAAGACATAGCATCGACATCAATAGCCATCTTCTATGTTTCGACCACACAGCTGGACAAAGAGAATGCATTCCATTCTGACAATCAACTAAGAAGGGTGAGTTCTTGCCACTAACATAGTAGATGGAACATGATCAAGTGCATACTTATACAAGAGAATAGTAGTAAAATTTAAAATTAGCAATCTATCAACCAAAGTACACAAAATACTACTCCTTGATGGACAATGTTTTGTGCATCGGATCAGATAGATAATCGAGTGACACCATCTAATTTCCACCAATGCATACACCCTCAGTGGCTATACAAGTTGTGGAAAAAGGGTTTACGCTACCCTCCAGAGCGCCCCAATTGTACCAGTATCACGGTCATCAATGGGAAGTAAATTACCGTGTTCTAGAGGTAAATCGCGGCCATCTTGATTACTGCTTTACACATAGCCAACATACTAAAATACGATCGGACATTGATTATACCTTTCTGTCATAACCATACCAAAGCAAATGCTGTTTCGACAAATGAACTGGCAGAAGAAGAGTTGAATCACGAATGAAGAGTACTGGTCCAAGCTGGACTAGGAAAAGGGATGAATTCCCATTTCCTAAAGTGGTACTGCCATGTGATGCTTCTACCCTCCAGAAATCTCCCCTTGCAGCCAAAGAACTTTCCACACCACAAGTCCGACCATCAAACATCGTTGAAAAGTTAAGTATTCCCTGCAATTAAACAACTGGGCATCAGAACTAATTACAAATAGATCATTATGCAAGTTAAATCTACATATTTCCATACCATATTGAACTAAAGAGGTGATGTTATTTGAGGTGAAAAAAAAATATATCAAGGAAGATAGGTAATCAAGAAAATTAATAGATACTTGAAACATCCTACATGAATCGATCAAGAAGATTAGGAATTACAAAAGTTTCATAAAAACAAGTGGCACAATCAGAAAAGCATAAACACATGTGGTATTACAATTAACAACTAAAGTTCACATTTCAATTTTCAAGATGAAGAAAAAAAGAAACACTATCATTCAATAATATTGGAGCTTTGCTCCCCTTCCCGCTTCTCATAATAAATGAAATGATCCATATACTCAATCTACTTACATCATTAACATTGAGCTGAATTTACCTGACTTTTGCCAGAAAAGCCAGCAGCCTTCAAATTAACTCCAGCAACCTCCTCCCCACCAGACCCATCTTTCCCCTTCTCAGTTTCCTCAAACCCAAAATCCTTAAACCTTTTAGCCAGTGTACCCAGATCCTCATGAACTTGCGTATTAATCCCTAAATCAGCAGCCCTCTGTACACCAGCATCCACCCTTAACATCACAGTATCTTCCTCATGCCGAAATGGCATCGGCAACCTCCTAAAAAACTGCTGAACAACACCATTCAAACTTGCCCCAAAGTCCGCCCCAACTTGACCTAACTTACTCCCAATATCAAAAATCGCCGAAACGCCATTAATCCCGTGACTAGTATTGTCAACCAAAAGCCTGAAATCTCGTTCCATAAAACTCTGAGTATGAAATTCGACATCAAAGAGCTTGTGTGGATCAGGATTTGGCCACGTAAAGGATGGAGGAGTGATTTGCCGATGAATCAAATCCGTAAAACCCTGTGTTAACCTATCAGCTAAATCCAATCCGTGTCGATGTACCTCTTCCCATGCTTCGAATGATCTCTCAACAGACATCTCCCCCTCTCTCAAATTATAACACCAAAAACTCAAATCCGTCCAATCCGGCAAAAGCAGAAAAAAGTATATCAAAGCAAGCAAGTGAAATCATACCAGATAACTTCCATAAGTAATCCACAGCTTCCAGAACACCAAAATTGAAAGAGAGAACAGTTGCAGCTGATTGTTAGGGCTTCTTATTTAGACGAAAAAACGAAAATTTCAGTCAGAATCGGGGGACGAGAAGGGATTTTGAATGGGAAGGATAAGGTGCAAAACAGGACGCATCTGAATTTGTTAGCGGTCGGTGGTAGGTGATTGTATTTGTGTGCTTGTATCTCTCACATTAATATGTAATCCAATTGTTTAATATATTTTTTAATTTTAAAGTTACACTTTATATCCCAAGAGTTAGGGGTGTTTGGCAATTATTGAATCGTTTGGTGCAAAATGATTAAGTGGTCAGAATAATTAAGAGGATCTCATAAAATAGTACAAAATGAAATATAATTGTTTAGTAATTGTGTACAATGAAATTAGGGCTCTTAATGGTTAAGGGAGATTCATGATACAAAATCATCCAGCGGGTTTTAGAACCATTAAGAGGCAAACTTTTTTTTTGTTGCTAAATAAAATTCACCTCTTAACGATTCAGAGGTTGCCTCTTATTGGAACTATTAAGAGATAAACAAACAACCCCTTATTTATTGGGGGTTGATATCCCCATCCCCCTACATCACTTTTCACCCCCTTCTCCTCACCCTCACAACTTTCCCTCACTCTCACCCTCACATACTCACCCCCCTCACATGCATCTATAGGAGGGGGTGGGGTTAGAAAAACCTTATTTATTTAACTTATGTTTTAATTTTTAACAAGTTAAACTATTATAATTGTTTTGTCAATACGTTCGAAATAAGACCAATATTATTTATTTTTTAATTTAATTATATTATATTATATATATCATGAAAAAATATTTTCCATACTGAGGGATTGTTTGACAATTGCTGAATGATTTGGTGTAGAATGATTAAGTGGTCAGAATAATTAAGAGGATCTCATGATATAGTGCAAAATGAAATATAATTGTTTGGTAATTATGTACAATGAAATTAGGGCTCTTAATGGTTAAGAAAGATCAATGATACAAAACCATTCAGAGTGTTTTAGAACCATTAAGAGGCATACTTTTTTTTTGCCAAACAAGATTCATCTCTTAACGATTCAGATGTTACCTCTTAATGTAACTATTAAGAGGTAAACAAACAACCCCTTACATTTTATACTCTTGTAATTAATTATTTAATTTATGTTACCTTTTTCATTTTTTGTTTTACACCCTTGTCACATTAATATACATAATCGTATATTGACTAAAATACGTTAAAAATATGTTTTTATTTTAACAGTTACACCATTATAATCGTCTAGTCAATGTCTTCAAAATAAGCCCAGTATTTAATATTTTTCTTATTTAATTATAGTTCCATAATAATATAAATATAATAAGAGTATAAAACATAAAATGATAAAATAAGGGAAATAAATTAAGGGGTCGTTTACCTAAATGTTTACCAGTAAGTGCTTACTGATAGGTGTCAACACTATAATTTATTTTGATACGTAAGATTTTAGTATATCAAAACATATTGAATGCTACAATTTATTGAGTAAGCGCTTACCTCAGTAAGAGTTGTCATCCGCACTTACCATGTAAGACTATTCATCCTTCTCATCGCTCTTACCTCGATAAGATTCTTAGCCCTTATCATGTTCATCTGATGAGAAAATTTCTCCACTAAACACTTACCAAATAAGTATTTAGTAAACGACCCCTAAATTAATATTTATAAGGGTATAAAGTATAAATATTCAATATTTTTTCCATGTAAAAACAACAAAATATTCCTAGGCATGCATTTTCATACCTCCTCCTACGCTTATGCATGCATTTTCATACCCCCCCCCCTCCTATATTCAGTCCTATATGGGTTGTCATGTGCGCATGAACAAACACTGTATACATGTCAATGCGTACTCATTCCACTTAAGCAATGTCATTCACAGAGTCCTTATTCTCCATTCGTCTCTTTTTGCCTTTTTTCACTCGAAACACTAGTTTGAAAAGCCAATGTTTCTTCTTTCGTTCGTCGCAATATTTGTTCCTCTACAACGCTATTTCATGGACTTTGAGGTTACCGATTAGATCATCCAACTTCATGGTTTGTGGTACGCGACGATCGTTTCTACCAAATGACGTGTTCTCACAAAAATATTGCCTCAAACTGTATTATTCAAACACATCCCCACTGTCAAAACAAAAAAGCTCCACAAAATATAGAACCTCGAACAAAAAATGGGATGTAACGCTGACTTTTATCTATTATGTATACAATATAAACGCAAAATGGAGGGTGTGAAACAGTGTACACCAAGTTACACCGCACTTGGACTTTCGGGCCAACTTCGTAATTCGATACTTTGAAATAGTTCTCTATAGTAGACTGAGATCAGTTCTTTGATAAATAATTAGCATACAACAGAAGAATACATTAAAGGGTAGTCAAAGTGATACCAAATGTATGCCCTGAATTGTGTGAATCCTAATGTTGATAAAATAACAAATAGTACCCGATATTTTCCGTCTTAGGGGCCGTTTACCCAATTGCTTACCCGGTAAGCGCTTACCGATAGGAGTCAACACTATGATTTATTTGATGATTAAGATTTTGATATATCAAAACATATCGAATGCAATAATTTACTGGGTAAAAGTCATCATCGTCACTTACAGGGTAAGACTCTTCATCCTTCTTATCGCTCTTACTCGGAAAAATTCGTGGTTCTTCTCATGTTCATCCGATGAGGAAATTTATCGAGTAAGCACTTACCAAGTAAGTGTTTAGTAAACGACCTCTAAGTTAAACATCGTCTTAGCAGTTTAATATATATGGTTGTGTTTACGTGAGACCAATTTGTTTTCATAAGACCTGTGAGATCATTTTCTTACACTTGAAACTTCACATCAAAATGTTGTGAATGTCACATTCACAGTGTTTTTGCTCTGAAAGTAAAAAAAAAAACTGAACTTTCACAGCAAAAACACTGTGAAGGTGACCTTCACAACGTTTTGCTGTGAAGTTTCAAGTGTAAGAAAAGTGGTCTCACAGTCTTACGAAAACATGCTGGTCTTGTGTAATCACAAGTCTTAATATACAAATCATTGAAAAAAATCCATTTATATATGTATATATGAACCGATATCTATAATTTGTAACATCCATTGACATATGTTGCTACAAATAATTTGTTTTTGGATTTCTTAAGTAATTCATAAATATTCTCTTAACTATCCTTACGTTCATACGTTATTCAGTTTTCTTATTAGATGTTGACATATATGAAAGTAGGCTCAGATTTATGTGAGAACCACTAAAAAATAAGAATTATAAGAACAACTATATTTATTAAGGGTTAGGTTCATGGAAAAACCGCAAAAAATAATAATGAAAAACTAAATAACATCCTGGTAACTATTTATCTAAACGGCATGCACAATATGCATATAAGTAATTCCAKTTAAATGGTTACAATGGTGTTCCTTAGTTTTTTCATTTTCTAGGGAGTTTTTCCCTGAAACTTCTCTAACTAATGTATATATATATTAGTTATCGGGTAAGTGTTTGGTAAACGGTCCCTTAATATTTGAATTTATTTTAAATTAACTTCAAAAAAAAAAAAAAAAAAAAAAAAAAAATATATATATATATATATATATATATATATATATATATATATATATAACAAACACAATATGATCCAAAAGAGAGTTTGAATGGAAGGATCCGATTCAAACCTAGCTTTTTGAGCGTTTTCAAATCCCCAATGTCGTCTCTGCTGCCATTTTACACTTTCACCTTTGTTCTTCTCTCGACTCTTCTCTTTCCTTCGGTTCTTTCTCTTCCATTGAAGATATTGATCTCTTTATAAACCGTGATTGCAGTATCTGATCGATTGCAGAGCAAATAATCGTTCATATCGATTTCAGCTCGCCGACGGACACACTCGAAGCTTCGTTTACCAGGTTAGTTATAATCATCGATTCAAAAACAGTTGTTTTTCATGTCGATTATCTCGAATATTGCCGTATCACTGTTTTTGATGGATATACTTTGTTTCTTACCTGATTCGTTTTGTTTTTTTAACTTGTATATGATAATGTAAACCAGCTGTTTACAGCAAAAACATTTGTTTATTAGATCAATGTGTTGTTGCATTTGGTGTACTGCGAACGGATAAACACGAAATTAGGGATTTAAATGCTTGGAGGTTTTAGCTTCCGTTTCTACATTTCATCTTCTTCCGATTACGATTTCGGTTTTTGTTTTGTCTCAGGGAGCTTGTGGTTTGAATAGTTTGGATCGTTGATTTAGATTTCAGGAATCGCCATTAGAGGAAACCTGTTATGATTTCTTAAGTTCAAGTAAACCACATCGTCTTCTTCGCAAATAGAGGTAAAGTTCTCGTAAATTTCTCGTTGAAGACCATAAGATATAAATTCAATTTTTATTACTTGCGATGATCTTATTATCACTTAGAACGGAAAATTAAATTATTAAAAAGTCAAAATTTATGTTTGAATAAGATAAAAGTGTTAGGAGTTCATGTGAGAACGGTATTTTCATGAGTCGCATAATACAACTTTTTTATATTTGAAACTTTACAATAAAACACTGAGAATGTATAAAAATGAATGTTCACAGCAAAAACGTTGTGAAGTTACCTTCACAGCGTTTATATAAAAGTGGTTTCACAAAAAAAGAAAAAAATAGTTTCACATGATCTTTAAATAAGAAAAAATTTATAAGATCATCATCAAAATGGGACAATGGRTAAAAGAATGTGGCAAAATACTTTTTGATGGGCCAAAAGACTCATAAAGCACACTCGTCATGATATCCATTTTAACTCAAATAAAATGTAACTTTGATATGTGTGTTATTTTAATTAGTTGAAAATTTATAAATTAGAAGTAAATACTTTTGATGGAATTGGGAGATTGAATTAATATGGTGAATTAGGAGTGTAAATGAGAAAAAGTATATTATTAAATAAAAAATACAAAAATGAATTAAAAAAATACAAAAAAAAAAGAAATTTTAAATAGTTAGTTTGGTATTAATATCATTAATTTATTATTATTTTTGATGATATTTTCATATTTTTGTTTTATTAAAAAATAAAAACAGTATTGCATTCTCATAAAATCATATTATAACATCGACTAAGACGAAAAAAAAAACACTATAATCTAAATGTATCTTGCTGTATTGTACGAGTACCTTTCTAATATGATATATAATATACTTTTTATTATACTTGTGTGTAAATAATACTTTACAATATAATAAAGATATCGTTAGCAACGTTCGAAGAGCCAGTTTTCCCTTTCTTTATTCACCCCTCACCCGCATGTAGACAAAGCTTTATTTTTGTGTAAAACAGTAGGGCTAAAGGGGCTCCACTGACGATGCAAAGGCTCTTTGTTTAATGGAAATAATGGAGGTTTTCACGTAAAATCTGGATGACAAAGAGGACCCATCTGTTTTTTGTGCCTTTTATGTATGATTATTTATGAATAAAATAATCCATGATTTTAACTTTTCTGTTTCCACTTCTAGAGGTATAAACTTTGATTGAATACCCCTTTGGTCACTGAGGTTTAAATACGGTGATTCTGAGTTATCCATAAAACAGACAGGTCATTTTGGTATTAGTCGACTCATATAGCGGGTTGGATATCCAAACTAATTAAAAAAACCTATGAGCCTCTACAACCGGTGGGTCTATGAGGCATGGCAACGAGGCAGGGATGGGACGGATTTTGTAATCTCCAGCCCCGGTTTGTAGTAATATCCCCCGGCCCGGCCCTGAGACCCGTTTTAACAGGGAATCCCCGTTCGGGTCGGGGGCAAATCACCATTTAAGCATCCAAATTGAAGATGCAAGTATCACCTTTCTAAAGCTTGCTTTCTATCATTTGGGGCATGATTAAATAAGTCTACCAACTTAGTTGAAGATTCTGGGAATTATCTTATTGTTGTTGACAAGGAGGATTAAATAATTAGTATCATTAACATAAATGTGTGTTTAGTTATCATTTCCCACATCAAAGGAATGTAAACCAAGAAAAATACATGTGAAGTGTGTGGTTTCAGAATACGTGGAACCCAACTAGATTAGTCTTTAAAGGAGCCTTTGATAAGAGAAGAGAGTTTCCAACATATATGGAGGAGAACGAGTCTAAGTTTAGCCGATATAGGACTCTATTACGCCAAGGGAGGCTAGACAAGCACATATGGCTCAGGGTGTCTGAGTCCCAAGAGTGATAGACGTTGGTTTTTGTACCATGTGAGCGTATATGAAACCTTATTAGATTACTCTCTAAAAAAATCCTTTAAGCATTAGATTTTTACTTTGATGCCATATGGGTATAGGAACGATGGATCCATTTAGATTACTTTCCAGAAGAGTTCTTGGGGATAGAACAAAGATTCCAATATATATTAGAAGAAGGGGGTGTTTGGGATTGTTTACTTGAAATAACTTATACTTTTCTACAAAAGCACTTATCAACTTATTATAAGTTAGAAGGGTTTAACTTCTTCAAAAACTTCTTATTACCGGTTTGACACCGGTATAAGTTGTTTATCCAAACACTCAAAAGTGCTTATTACCGGTGTCACATGAATAAGTCAATAAGTTGTTTTTATAAGCATTTCCAAACACCCTAAATAGTCCAAATTTAGTCGATGTACGACTTCAAACACATGACATGAATGATGTGCTTCTCCACGCACTTATATACAAAGACCAACTCCTTAGGCATGTTTTACGAAACTGTATTGCTATTGCGGATGTCAGCTTGTGCATCTAATGCTTTGTTAATATTGGTATATTAACTAATAATTTAGAAATTTTCTAATTCATTTAATATATTTATTAAATAATATGTAAAATAAAAAAAATTAAAGTATAATGTTGTAATAAAAAATATCACATCACCAAAATTTTACACGTTAACATCCATAGACAATGACATGACATGAAATGAAAACTTGGTAACTTGTGTCGTATCATCTTAATTTAAGGGGAGTGCTAATGGCACCCCATTGATAGGGGTGCCAAATTACATGGGAACTTGAACCTTATTAAAAGGGGAGTGCTATTGGCACCCCTTTGATAGGGGTGCCAAAATACATTGGAAATTGAACCTCATTACAAAATGATAAAAAATCAATAAAATAATATAATATAATATATTTTATTATTATTACTTTTTATATTAATATATATCCTATAATTTATATATATA